GATCGATTGATCAATTAGTTACGTAGTTATAGCCGTCATTTACACTAAATGTACTGGGACATCCGGGCTAATTTTTCGAAAAATACCTTTGGTATTCCGAGTACTTACCAGGTCTAAGATTACAATACTTTTCTTCATTGGCAACCTACTTTAAAACGTGTTTAAAGTTATTTATGCAAGCGAGAAATTCAATAAAATCGTACGGGTGGTGGTGGTGGGGGAAGCAGAAGCGCGGCCGCTTCGGCCTACTCGAAATTGAATCGTCTATAACTACGTAACTAATTGATCAATCGATCTGTTTTTTTTAACGAAGCGTCTTTCCAAGAACTTTTAAAACCTGCTTTAAAAAACTTTTTTTGATTGAATATTCGCAAAGTTCTAATTGTTTATAAGTACAAAAATTCGACCAATGTTTAAACAAGTGCCAGAGCTCTCCTAATTGACGGAATCGAATTTTTCAAAAACGTTTGAAAGCCTGAGAGCTCTTCTATATGTGATTAAATTTCCAAGTATCTAAGGGCCTTGGTTTTGCTGTGCAAAATTTTGAAATTTTGCAATTTTTTTTAAATCTGGATTGCAAAATTATTATGTAAAATCTATCGAAGCGATTTTGATGAAATTTGGTGTGATGATTCTACATATCATGAAGTTTTCTTGAGCCAAGTATAAAGGTCCTACACCCAATTTAAATACACCAAAAAAAATCCCTAAAAAGTATTGTCTTTTAACCACATTTTTGTGATTTTTTCGATTTTTACCATAATAATCATGATTCATTCGATTTGTAACCAGTCATGTATCGTAAAAAAAATTAATTACAAACATTTTTGTCCTTTTCCATTTTCGCCTAAAATCAACTCTTAAAAATATACATAATTAAATAGGAAGAAAAATATGACATTTTTCCAATTTTTTTAACATATTGTGCCGCCAAAAGTTAAGCCCACATTTTTTTTTATGCGCATAGAAAAATTTTCATTTCTAGTGATATTTGAAAGCCAAAAAGCCAAAAATCTCCGTGGATATACGATTCACCCAAATATGGCTTTTTGAAACAGATACCGTCTGGACTATTAAGAACCCATTAGTGAGTATTTTGTGTTTATTTAATTTACTTTAATAGGTTACTTAACTACACCGTTTAGGAAGAACGGATCTGATATTATCTTTAATACTAATTTTACATTGAATAATAAATATTTTCTCTATAAATTTGGCCAAAATTACTCAAAATGACATTATGAGAGTACAGAATTTAGTGGTGTGGTAAGATTTTTAATGAAATAATCCATAACCATTTTTTGTCAAATTTGATACAGAAGAATTGAAATTAGGTTTTGATTTCTGAAAATAAATTGGAATCGTAAGTGACAATAGATTTTATTATTCCCCATTGGTCCATAAATACAGTCGGACCATATTAAATTAAATTGGTAAATCGGTCCATAATAATCGGCCCATGTTAAAATAAATTTTTAAATTTAAATCTGTCAATAAACTCAGTCCATAAATATCTTTTTTACTAGTGTCTCCATTTGAAATAGGTCACACCGTTTATAAATTTTACCATTTTTCCAGGTACTCAAATTTTGCAATGGAAAAATGAAGATGGTGGATATGACTTCCATCTTACTGCAACAATTTCAGAATGGATAATGGCGCTAGCTATAAATATTTTTGTTTTTACATTTGAAAACGAGTTTAAACGAATAAATTTCGATGGGATCATTTTTTCAAAAAAAGATTCTTTTTAGGAAATATTATCAAAAAAAATTGAAATTATAATAATTACCTATACAAATAGTCTAATTTATACATCTTTAGACTAATATTTTATTTAAAAGAACGTTAACTGTATTCTTCTTTCCTCCCAAAAATTACATCCATCATGCTATACAGAGTGTAGTTTGACTGCCATTGCTTCAGGTTGAGATAGATTAATCATAAATGAACAAAAAAGTTTATATTACAGGGGCGTAAGATTAACAGTTTTCAGAATACAGCGAATATTGGGGAGTTACATCACAACCTTATAACAGCACTTAACCTGCTGATGCACACCACGTGTATATTCGGGAGACTTGTCCTACGGAAAAATTGTAAACAGCTATTTTTGTGAAACTTTTAGTAAATTTCAAGACAATTGTTTTTCAGTTTTTAAATAAATAAAATAAAATGTATCGATTTTGTTGTACAAAAATAGTGTTGTGCTTAAATTTTACTTTAATCAAATTACGTATTTGAAAAATATGTAATTAAAGTACCCGAAGATTCACGTCGTCCAAATAATTATACGTATTAAAAATAATTTAGGTACTTACCAAAAAGCAAAATTCAGTAATTTTTAAACGTACAAGTACAAAACAAACTACAACATATGCTCAAAATGTCCACCACCATTTTCGATGCATGCATGACTCGAATCCAATTTTCAGGCACCCGCTGGAAAACACCTCAAGAAAAGGAAATAGTGATGCGCAAAAAACACTCCGATACGGTCGAATCCAGATACCAACTGAATTGCGTATTGGTGGTTGCTGGACACCTTAGTACCGTGTTAATAAACCGCCGCGCCGTTGTCACATTGCTCGATATGAATTTTATCGAATTTTAAATTTATTACAACGCTAATTATTTTTTAGAATTAAGCATAAAGATGTTCAAAAAAAGTGATAAACATTGTATTTTATGGTATTCTATGCACGCAGTTATGTCAATATTCCTTAATTAATTGAACTTTTGTACATCAAGTTGGAGATTTTGATAATTTTTTCTCGAAAATGGTTGATTTTAAGACCCATGTCATATAAGGTTTTTTTGTTTATTTTAATGTATTCTATCGTCTGTTAAAATTAAGGCAGTCAAACTTTTAACACCCTGTATTTAGAAAAATAATGTTCTTAGTGAAATTTGTTTTACACTTTAATTGGACAAGTTTTATACTTATTTACCTCATTTAAAAGAAATATCATGCAACATTCTGCACAATAAATAAGAGAAAATCGAAGGTTAGGTATTATTTATTAGGAGTAAAATGAATTCATGAGTAGTATTCAATGTATAACAGTACCTATGTACCTAATACTTTCTTTTGAAGTATTCAGTATTTGTATTTATCCTTATTAGATATGTATTCAGGATTCTGTACCTACTCGAAAATAGTATTCTTGGGTAGTGGAAATATTTTATGATTAGGTAATAGGATATTGTCATAATCAATCTGAGCTACGATGCCGTCTCCAAGAGATCTATGCAATGGTAATCCCGGCAAAATTAAATGCCGATGTTTAGATTTTCATCTTCAAAGGTTCGAAATTTTAAGTCGGAGCCCTCTATCCAGGTCTTAACCGTCAGCAATAGCTATAAGCGCAGCACCCGATACCGACGGAGGCCGATGCTACTGACAGAGAGTGATCGTACTGAGACGTGCAGAAAAACCACAAACGTATCGGAAATAAAAAGTTTCTCAAATACCTACATCGAAATTCGATCTGAAACAGAACCGAAAGACAAACTACCACACCAAACTACAGCCCGAAAACCAGTACAAGTTGAGCAGATTGCAAATCTCAGCAAAATCTTGAAAAGCAAAAAGTCCAAATTTAAAGCGAAGATCGTTGCAACATTATCTCTGCGGTCCCGTCAAATGAGGTGTTCGAATGTCCACCCTGTCAGCTTACAATTCATTCATCAGGACGGAAACCCGGCTAGTATTCAGTATGACTTTCACGCTTAATGCTCATTGTATTATTTAATTACTATTAAATCAGGTATTTTGAACACATAATTGTATAAAAAGTACTCAAAATAAATTCAAATTTTGTAATTGTTGAAAATTTACATTTTCTTTGCGTACGCATTCTTCGAAGCCAAGATCTCATATCTAATCACTAAACCATCCAGAAGTCATAACTAGTTACATAAGGGTGGAGAAATGTGACACATATACAAGAATGGAAGTACAAGTTGAAATCAGTACCGTTTGTAGAAAAGACAACACAGCCCAGTACTTTTTTTTCTGTAAAGTGTGATGGCATGAGGTATGATCAGCCTATTTTAGATAGGCAGAGCTGCGTGAGACTGAGAGAGAACGCATTCGGCTAGAAGGAATAAGACGTAGCCGCGGCGATTTGGGATAACGGCTTTTGGAGTGTTACCCTTACCATGTCCAGTGCGCATTTATAGGCGGAGCTATCTCAGACGCAAGTTTGTTTGTGTTGGTATGTACTAGTACTAAATAATCCCCATGTTTGTACTTCTTTCTGTTTATTATTATTACCTCAACCAATAGCCCGAGAGCCAGCGACCTTTTTTGATGACCAAAAGAGCAAAAGCTGAAAAGTTTTCCTACGCTTCATTTGGTGTCACTAGTAAGAGAATCGACCTCCAGCTCACGCACTTCCGGGGGCTACAGTTGCGGCAGCCTCCCAAACACGTAAAATAATAAAATAAAAAAACTAATACCGCAAAAGCTGAGACTATGGCGACAAGTTAATTATGTTATAAATAAAAGAAAAAATGCAATCCGCTGACTTTAGAGTGGGGGGGGGGGTGTGCCTCAGCTTTTCACCTAAACAAGTGAAAAATATGTGCTAGGTAGACTGATACCGAAAAAGCTGAAATTTGGTAAAGTAATAGTCATCTTAATCAGTTATACCAAAAAAATTGTCCGCTGAAATTTTTACGGTGTATAAGTGCTCAGTTGACGAGTTGAAGGTGCAGCACATCGCTATACGTGCGGGTGCGATCTTTAACTTTATCAGCTGAGCACTTTTCCCTCACTAAATATAAAGCTGAGTATTTTTTTCAATTAACTTATTAAATTAGCTATTGATTATTATTATTACCATTATTATTACATATTTACAGATGATGAGGAAGAAATGGCAGGAATCGACATTGACTCCAGCGACCATGAGTTTGAGGATGATGAATCGAAAGATGAAATAGATTAAATTTTTTCATACATAACGTTTATTGTAAATAAATATTCGAAAAAAGTTGTATATTTTTATATAATTACTACTAAGACTTAAAAAATGGAAAAATTATAAATATCTCATACCGCAAAAGCTGAAATTTGTTAATACAATAGCTAATTTAATAAGTTAAATGAAAAAAATACTCAGCTTTATATCTAGTGAGGGAAAAGTGCTCAGCTGATAAAGTTAAAGATGCAGCGCGCCCGCGCGCATAGCGATGTGCTGCGCCTTCAACTCACCAGCTGAGTACTTATACACCACAAAAACTTCAGCGGACCATTTTTTTCGTATAACTGGTTAAGTGGACTATTACTTTACCAAATTTCAGCTTCTGCGATATCAGTTTACCTAGCGCATATTTTTGACTTGTTTAGGTGAAAAGCTGAGGCATAACCCCCCACTCTAAAGTCAGCGGATTGCGTTTTTTCTTTTGTTTATAACATAATTAACTTGTCGACAAAGTCTCAGCTTTTCCGGTATTAGTTTTTTTATTTTATTATTTTACGTGTTTGGGAGGCCGCCGCAGCTACACCCCCCGGAACTGCGCGAGCTGGATGTCGATTTAGTTACTAGTGATACCAAATGAAGTGTAGGAAAAATTTTCAGCTTTTGCCTAATGACTAACTCAAAACGGTTGCTGGCTCTCGGGCTATAAGCGTTTCAACTGCAACAACAAATTTAACAATTTAAAGTTCTTGGGAACTATTGATGGAATATCATAAAAAAATACTACAAAAAAATTGTTACTTATGACAAGTAAATGTGTGGTTCTAATTTTGGCATTAATTACTGGGACACTTTGTATACTTGAGTATAATTACAGTTGCGTTAGTCTGGCGTAATAACAATTTATTGGTTAAAACATTTTTAAAGGTAAATCAGATTGAAGGAACCATAAATCTGAAAATTTTTCTTTCATTGATAAATTCTTTAACACATCATAAGCATCATTTATTTTATTAATGTATTGATAATAATTTGTATTTATTGATTTTTGTCATTAATAAAAAATGCAAACCAGCCTTGAGAGTATTCACGAAAACCCCACTAAAATCAAATAGAAGTAATCTTCTTAAAACGATTACTAACTAAATAGTTTAGACTTTTCTGTTTTGTCTCACTCAAAGCAAACATTAACCAAACCTGTTCGCGTCGTCTGTGACCGTGAATCTGAAGATCTTTGAAACCTCTGATGATTTCGGTTCATGGGGGTTTCCCATAATTACCATATTATTCTTATCTGATTTTTAATATTCCTTTTATGGGCTTCCGACCTTGGGTAAATCGAAGAAAACAACTAACTGAACAGGTCTGTCATTACTTAAGAAAACGAACTTAAACAGTGTTAGCTGGTCAGTGTGTAGGTTCTACTTCGAGGAAGTGTACTCGTTATTATGGTGAGCTTTCTTAATAACATTATCCAATAACAATATTGTTTATTATGTATACAACTATAGTGCAGTCTTCGATAAATTTTATAAAAGATATGGAATTTCTAATAAAGTCTTTAAAAGGTTTGATTACTTATGTTTAATTTCTAATTCAATATTAAACCTGAATTGATGGCACAACATGATTGATTCGATAATAATTTGTAATATGCAAATATCTTTTGGAATAAATAAATTAAATTAATGTAAATTAACGTAAATCTAACGTAGATAAAGAATCTAAACTCAAATCTGAAAATTTGTATACGGGGGTTCTTAAATATCTTCTCTTCAGAATATGTTTATCCAACTTTTGTCTTCTCAATCGTGAAAAAATACCCAATGAAATAAAAGGAGGTGTCAATATTTTTATTTTGAGCAGAACGTCCTATACAAGGTGGTTTAGGTTTTAATTGGGAAACTTTACCAAATAATATAAACAATTATTTGAAGCAAAAATTTTTGACTGTAGGTCGTACTTCGCTTTGTGTTTGAGATAAAGGTATTGAAATTAGAAAAAAAAAACACATGTTTTAAAATGTCTCAGAATCTTTGATGTAAACTGATGCGTAAAAGATACCTAACTTAATTTTTTTAACTTTTTAACCTCAATGCACTTTGAGATCCGAGGGATGACCTTCCTGAAACCTTTGTCAAAAAAAACTCCCGCCGACTATCTGGTCCATTGTTTGATGGACCTCATCGTCGCTAGAAAACCTTTTCCCACCCATAAACACCCCCAGAGAAGAGAAAAGATGAGAATCAGTTGCCAGGTTAGGACTGTTAGTGGGGTGGTTGATGATGTCCCAACCGAATGAATCCAAGAGTTGCTTTATAGCGTTGGCTATGTGGGGACGCACATTGTCATGCAAGAAGCATACTCCCTTTGTTAACATTCCCCTTCTGTTGTTCTGTATCGCCCTCCGTAGTGTTTTCAGGGTTTCATAGTATCGTACGACATTAATTGCTCCCCCCTGGGGCAAAAAGTCTATTAGAAGAATTCCTTTACTGTCCCAAAACACAATTGCCATGATTTTTCGGACCGAAAGAATGCTTTTGATTTTTTTCGCTGATGCTAAAGACGGATGTCGCCACTGCATTGGTTGTCTTTTCGTCTCAGGAGTGTAGTGAGCCACCCACTTATTGTCCCAGTCACAATACAGTTAAAGAATTGTTGACCTGGCGGGATTCGGAATAGCGGCACTCATTTCAACGCGCTACTACAACAACAGTCCTCAACTGACCGACACAAATAAGGGCGCGTTCTGCTCCCAACACCTTGGCCTTGAATCCAGTGTTGCCAACTTTGTCGAGAACAAAAACCACAGAGCATCAGAGTCTCAGTACTTTGTGAATATGCCTCATATGAGATATCTTTTGCATACCCAAATTTTTGGTATTGTTTGACTTTATTTTATACCTAGGACTTTTAGAAAAAAAAATTGAATTTGTTTGAATTAGCACAATACCTTTAATATATTTCGTAACAGCTGAAATCATATAATTAACAGTATTGTTATTTGAACTTGAAGTCATCTTGAGATATAGGGTATATAGGTGCCAAAATTTTCAAAAGAATGTTATAACAAATTCATCGACATACAAGAATCATTGGAGTATGAAAATTAATATGAATTTTGAACTTATTTTGTAAAATCATTTAAAGAATTAAAAAAAGTGCCATCTTTACACATCCTAAAATGGTAATGTTCTTTCCATTGATCCAGCTAATGCAAAAGAGTCGAGAAAACATTTTCGTATAAAACAAAATATAAATTTAAAAAATTATTACAAATATTTTTGTTGTTGTAGTGACACCATAATTTTTTAAGAAAATGTAACCAGCGTAATCTCATGTTTACGCATTGGTTTGAACTGAGACAATTTTCTTTTCATCGAATGTCATTTTATTCATGTATTGATCGTAAAGAATTGTTTGAGAAGATATAACATACCTTTTGAAAATTTCAAAAATCAAAGCTTAGCTTTATGACAAATATTAATGAAAAAAAATTCTTTACTATAAATTAGTAAAATGTTTCTTCTTTATAATATTACGTGCTGTAGATGGTGATGGGTTAAAGTAACACAGCTACACAAAAACAAAAAGTGGAAGGCCCGAAGACAAAACCATGGTATCTAGGTATATGTTTTTGGGTCAATGAATCCGAATCCGGTATCCATTTGAACTGATGAGTTCTGGGTTAAGGTCAGTTCAAGGTCAAATGCTGAGAATCAATTGCCAACAAAGTAAATATAAATATTTATACGCTTTTGGGGTAACTGAATCCGAATCCGGTGTCCGTTTGTCTCGATCAGGTCTGGTTATCCAACAATATATAGATATCGTGATTTTGTCTTTCGGACCTCTCACTTTTGTTTTGTGGGTCTGCCAAGTTAAGAATGCTTAAATCGTTATTTTAATATTTGAACTAAATTTGAGCTATAATAACTTACGTACATTATTAAACTTACTCATGATAAACATATCGCAAAGTGGTTGTTACACCATATCATGTATAATGTGAAAAAAAATTGTCAATCATTTAACGATATAGTACCTATTAGTTGTTCTGTTTTTGAAAGAGGATACAATGAGCCGCTATACAATATACACCCACCCTGTAGCAATCGATCGCTTTTTATTACAGGAAGATCTCTGTTTCAGATTTTCCCCTCAGCGTTTCCTCTTTGCGTTTGTGTGGTGGCAGCACTGGTACGAACCGCAATCGCCGCACCGTCGGATATTAAACCGGAGTCTCCCTGCCTCAAATTATTTCATTACGAATCCGTAAATGAACCGGGCAGATGGACCGGAAATCTTGAAGTTAATTCCGAGGATGAGCTGCACGGTGTCTGGATTAGAGTGATATTCGATAGTCCAGTGAAGGAGTTGATAGCGGAAGTAAGTAGAAGGAGAATTAAATACGAAGTTTCTGTTTATGGCAGAAAACTTTTCCCATAAATCAAGAAATTTTCAACTTAGTTGTTAACTTACATTACATTTTTGCTTTCGAAATTGTTTGCTGCAATGCAGTAAATTTAGATCGAATGAGTTTACAAAGCTTATTTGTCGTAATTTAAATGATATGTGTAAAGTTCATTCATGTATTGCAGTAGGTGGCAAAACAAGCCTTAGGTTATAAACAAGTCCACTGAATCCTATTTTAAGAATTTATTTTTGTTTGGATGGTTACTGTAAATAAGTTCCCAGAAAGAGATTTAACCCAAGCTTTGTTCCTACCTGGGTAATATTCTCATTTGCTGCATAAGCCAATTATTGAGTAACTCAACTTAGGTTGACGAAGGTATTCTCATTCCCTTATAGCTGTTTTACTGTGACAATTTATTGATCAATTAATTCATGAAGTCGCTTCATCAAGAAGTTCTTGACGAATAATTAGAACATGTTCTAATTTTCGTCAATTTCTTTGTGAAGTTCAGAAGTACCAACTCAACAGATTTCCAGCCTCAGATCAGTAATGAGGTTATGTTATTGGAATATGTAGATAATTGTGTGGCATCGTACTAATTTTGCATTGTTTTTACTGATTTGTTACTTACAGAAACTAATATTTATATAATACCTATGTGTCAAAATAGTACCGCTGTTGTATCATTACAATTATGAGTGGAAAGGTGACATTTTTGAAATTTATTTGCTTCTTTGATTCGTTGGTAAAATCGATTCATGCGTCAAAAAACTTGACAAAGTCTGTAGCAGTGTAAAACCACACTGTTTACCAATAAATTCGTGAATTAATTCATGAAGACCTTCGTCAATTTATTGATGAATAAATTGTCAATGTAAAACAGCTATTAGAACTATGAATGTATTTAACCTCTATTAATTTCTTTATTTAAAACATTTAGTACTATAAATATTACCACTAATGATATCATCTATAAAATGTTGTTTCTAAGACACAAAAGAGTTCTACCACATATCTATATATGGTCCTACTATAATTTAAAAATAATCGTAAAAGTGTTTAAAACAAACAAGTTGGTTGAACAACGTCTGATTTTTCACCGTTGTTGTGGAACACAAAATACGCGATAGGCCGAAATATTATCAAAATTCTACTAAGAATCCTACTATTTTTTTCAAGACTGTAGAGAAGCAACAGGAATGCTGCAGTTTAGGAACGGCTCGGACGTATAAATCAAATACCTAGCAAGCCGTCTCCCAACAGGTAAATACCTTCAAACTATTCTTCGGAACTATATGAATCAGTAGGTACCAGCAAACATAGACACGAGTCAGATGACTTAATTTCCAATTTTAAAGGTTGTTCTAAAGAAAAGAGCGATATAATAGCAATAATGCCTTTCGAAAAGTGAAGAAGTCTAAACTGACGATGTGGCAACCAGTTGGGTAATTGTTGAAGCATTAGCTTTGTTCCTACTTCCTAGAGCAATTCAAAATCTTCATCAGTGAGACGCATGCGCATTTTGATGTAATACTTACGTAATATTCAAAATTCATTTTTATAATCTAATACTACGTCTGACTGTTGGAAACTGTTTGCACTAGGAACAAAGCTATTAACTACTGTCACGGTATCTTGCACACCAACTAATCAACAAGTTGTTTTCAATTTTAAAGTTAGAATTTAAAACAGATCTTTATTAATAACTCTGTTGTCTTTTAACTAGCCATTTACACATCTCAGCTTTTCAGTGAATTCAAAATCATTGTTTCTTTTTATACCAAAAGCTAGTCTCTTCATTTTTATTCTTGTATTCTTATTTTATATTACAACTTCTTTGAATATGTGATCGGAATATTTTTGGCTATGTTGCTTTTAAAGTTAGGCATGCTTGTTTTGAAATAAAGACTTTGGCTCAAGTTTTGGCAAACGTTCTCTTAATTTATACAGACTGTTACAAATTCGCTTCTCACTACAGGGGTATCGAAAACGGTAAGAGATACCACGCATTAAAATTAAAAAAAAAATATTAGAGTTTTATTCCGGTGTCCATAGTTATTTCTAGGTTTCTCGAGTGTTCAAAATTCAAACAAATCCGATCTATTTTTTTCAGGATATACATTTGACATGCTCTTGCACAGTTGCGGTTACATATATGATAAATTCCGATAATATTACGTTGATCTTCATTTTAAACCTTTGCCAAAACGAATATGTTTTTGAAAATTTACTGAAATTTTTTAAAGAATAATATTCAGTTGGCGTTTTGGTTGTTCAACATTTTTAAGAATAAATTTGTCATAATAAAATTAGAACTGTAATGTTTTAATTTTGACGCAACAACTTATTGAGTTATGTATGACCAAGTGATGGTAATAGTTAATAATAATAAATGTTTTATTGTAACGCGTGGTGGTAATAGTTTAAATAACTAGATGGATTTCACAGGGTTTAACGTCACTTACAGTGTGCGATAATTCAATAAACAAAGAAATCTAAATAAAAAATTTAGAAAAATTTGGAACGAACACACTGAAGATGAATTTTTCGAGACAAAACGTCTGAATCTGGTTCGGGCTGAGGCAGGACAGTATTGGGGATCATGAAGGTTTGCAAAAAATGTGATAAAATTTCTAGGGTCGTATTTAAAGTTGATGATGGTCCTGGAGAGGCGAAACGTTACATATAAAAATTGATTATGCCATTCGATAGAGGACAAAAAGTGGCCATGAGAAAGTGTTCTTTTTTTAATATCACTTCAAACAAGGCTGAAATGAACAAAAACGGTTTTCCAAAATTTCGTTTTTTTTTTCAAATATTTCGAAAACTAACCGTGTTAGCCTTGATTTTTTAGATGCATAATGTTGGTCCACTGATTACTCAACTCTGCCCCCATTCAAGCTACTTCGAACCTCTGACCGTTTCCGAGATCCCTGTAGTGAGAAACGAATTCTTAACGGCCTGTATAATCCAATTAAATAAATTTAATTTAGTTGCAATCTAATATTAAAGCAAAACAAACAGGAAATTAATATTAAAACATTAAAAGATCAAAATACCTAACACCCTTATGAATAAACATACGGATCTAATTAATAGAGAGAAACAAATCTGCTTGAAAATTTAAAGCCTTCTGCCATTTGTCAAACTGCAGTCACATATGTTGTGTTAGAGACAAAATAACAAAAAAAAAATTATATTAATTTGGTTATTAGGCATATATCCGAATCGGTACCACAAAAAAATATTTTAGTAAAACTAATTTGTCGCTAATATTTATTTAAATAAGTTTTAAATAAAAATTTTAGAACAGTTAAAAAAGTGCAAGAAGGGCACGCTTCCTCCAGAGCACATTACATTTGAATTATAGGTATGCCAAAAAAAGTAGGGGAGGGGTACTAATTATTTACTGTAACCAGGTTTTCCACTGTTCATAGTTCCTTTTTGTTTTATCAAAGTTGCATAAAAAATGTGGCGGTATTGGGTATTTGTTAATGAAAATTAAATATCTTAATAACAACAGAGTTATAAACAAAATAAAAGATTTTATATTTTGACACTCTTCACCCTGAAAATGAGTAGGTACCTACTGTAAATGAAAAATGTCCTAAGAACATCACCATATTTTCACTCTTTCTTTTTAAAACAGTGCGTCCCCTTGTAGTCACTAACAATCTTCAAATAATCGATTATTTGCAAACAAAGGTAGAATATTTATGCCCATTAACATTAACTTCTGCTACACATTTGTCTAAATCTTACAATTAATAATGTTTGTTGGCAAATATGACAGGTTTAATTTTATGCAACCAATCATACTTCTACCAAGAGGTTCGTTACACACTAAAATACTATTTTGAATCAAGAAATTGGTGTATGCTTATTTCATAAATAAATACATTCTTAATTCAAAATGGCATATTTTCTGAGTATATTGAAATATAAATATTCAGTCAAGGTTATTATTTTTTGGGTTGTAATTTTATTGGAATCACCAAAAAACTTTCCATTATGTATGGGATTAATTTGATCTCTCATAGTAACTACAACAATTATAAATCACGTTTAGAGATTGACAAAATATTAACAACCTTGAAGTTTATTAATTGGGGATTTGGAATTTTTGTTACTTTTTTATTAGAAATTAGCAAGTAAACATAATATTTCTACAAAAATTTAATTATACAATTACTTATGAAAATATAGTTATTTATACAAATGTGTAAAGAAATATATTTCACTATAGGGAACTTTGTTGATAGGCCCATAAGTGTCTACCTTATACCCAAGAAAATATGTATTGAATTAAATAATAATTAATTTTATGCGCTAAAGGGTAAAATACATATTTATTTATCACACTATAATATTTTAATGTATTCTCACAAACATGCAACGAACTTGGGGATTTATTTTTAATAAGTTATATATCTTGATAAAATAAAATAATTAAAAAATATACCTATCTTCGTAAAACTTGCCCAGATATGTCAGAAAAAAATAAGTGTATAATAATAAGCACGATTATATAAGTAAAAGAATAATTTTTTGCTGTTTTTTACCTCAACAGTACCTATATCTACTAATACCGTTGAAATTAGTTGTTTCTTAACTGTCCATTCTTGTGATTTAAAAGGTTTTTGGTGCTTGCATTGGCAGTGTAGATAAAATTTTAGTAATTAAGATATAATTGTTAATATTAGTTAGTGTTTTAATGTCCAATCGGATTATAGGGCAAATATTTAGGGACGAATAGTTGAGTTCGTACATTGCTGTAATAAGATCGTCCGTTGCAATTTTTCTCAGAACAACATCGCTTTTCCTTCAGCGTTTGGGCTGGCAATATGAAAGATTTTTTAATAGGAAACTTTGTATTGCCAATCCTTGGAGAAATACCTATTGATGATTATAAGGGTGGTATTTACATAATGAGACCACACATTACTCTATCCTTAAATACTAAATTTCTTGA